ATCGAGATATTAATAAGGAACCAGCAGATCAAGTAGCTTTTGGAATAAAACACCAATTTTTTTAAAATTAAACACTATCTAAAGATTTGCATCGAAGCGTTTATTTTTGATAGTGATTTTAATCACTATCAGATATCATTATACTTGATCCAACTATGTCACGTCACCACTGTGCCGCGACCCCCCTGTGCTGGGTTTTTTTATTTGTCATCGAAAATCTACGATCAGTGAAAATGATGAATTCATAAAAATATGTGAATATTATGACTCTATTACTGCTATTGATGTAATATGTTACTTAGATTTCAAATCAATTACGTAATTTGGTTTTTCATTGTAAAAAATATCTTTTGATGTACCTACGCTATTAGATGTTATAATACTATACATGAATTATTAATTCTAACGAAGAAACAACTCTCTACTTCCACGTGTTATTCACATAATAATGCAAAAGAATCTATTGTAAAATTTCATATCAAACGTAAAGTATACAAAATACATACACGCATTTCATTTAAACAGCATTATTGATTACACCATTCAAGCAATATATGTTTTTTAGCAAAAACGGTTACACGCCCCGGTAAACGCTGGCGGTCCTAACTGTATCTGTTGCACACATTTTGTATACAAAACAAATAGAAACGGAAGCGAAGACCGTAAGCACTTGAAACGATAATGACAGATGCGGCTCGTGGAATAATATATTGATGTGCGAATCTAACAATCTTCCCGTACCACACCAATTCGACTCGGTATCCCAATATAACCAAACTGTATTGATGGTTTCAGTAAATAAAATGTAAATAAACACATAATAATAATAATTACATAGGCACTGCCCTCAAATTGTTATAAGTAACGTTACGCGTCAACTAACAATGTTTAACTAAAACACGACAACAGTCAATAAAAAATATTTCCCTAGCTCAATAACGGAATTTAAAGGATGAAATTAATTATGTACTACATTTAATATTTCAACAGTATATCTTACGTTTTTAATTTTTTTTTATTTTTAGTAATAATTTTTAATCAAATGTGATATGTTTTTATTTATAAGTAAATATTTTTAAGGGGTTTAGTACCAAAATCAGTAATTTAAGATGCGGTACTAGTTTTTTTAATTGACGGTATTTAAAATAATACAAATATTTATTATATTTGTATTAATTTTAAGTGTAGCACGCTGCTGCTATTTGCTGAAGAAAGATTTAAACTGGGCTGGGTAGTAATGCGTTAAAAAATTTTATTTAAAAGTTAATACAGACTTTACTAATCTTAACTTGTAACATAACACGTAAAGTTAGTAAATTCAGTAATGTGGTTGATAGACAATTTAGTATTGTACCAAAATACATTTTTCTTTTTTTAAGAAATTTAAAATTATAAAAAAAAATATCAGTAAAGTGGGGTTGCGGTATAGTTGTGATAAGTATAAATGATATCTAACAGTATTAACATCACTTTTAAAATTCCCTCAAATAATAAATAATTTTTTTATCAAAATATTTGCATTGGAAATTTCTGTAATCGTTTAATCTATAACTTTCTCCTAACCAATTAATTACTCTTAATTTAAAAAAAATGTATATGTGTCAATGTTCACTTTCAAACCATTCCTGTACTTAGGATTTTCATTAAATTCTCACAAAAAGGATACCAAAGGAGTAACTTATTGTCTTTAGTATATTTAATTTACACTTTATTTGGATCAGTAATAAAAAAAAAAAAGTTATAGAAATATGAAAATGCTGAATTTTTTATTTTTTTAAAATGTCTTTTTTTACAGTAGTGTAATGTTTTCATGAACAGTTATGAAAAAACCTTATTCATCACAAAATAATAACTTCTCAGCTTCGCATTTAAGTTAAAATATGAATTGTTTCTCTTTAAGGTATTGGAGTTAAGAAAATTGCTTATATTTAAAAAAAAACATTAAATAATAATGTAGTATTTGAGTATTTTTTATTAATACTATAAAATATTAAAAATTGGTTCCGTTGCAGTTACTATAGTAGATAGTTTTAATTTATATTTCTTTCTATTATAAAAAAAAACAATTACCTGTTATATGAATACAAAAATGTATACTAGCTAAATTAACATAATTGAAAAACGTATTTTTGTTATTACAAGTAACTGATAATTTAACTGAGTTTACTATTGAAAATTAGTAATTTATAACTTATAAATTAAGTAAATTTGTTTAAATTAATTTTGATAATTACAAGTTAAAAAAAATAACTAACTTGTCTAGCCATAGATTTAAAAATAATATCTTAAAAAGTATTTCTCTCAAGTTGTTTGAGAATAGTCTAGAACTGATTTTGTACATGATTATATTCTTTGAAATAAATACAAGAAAAAACAAGATAATGTAGGGTACTTAATACAAGCAACTAGTATGGATTTTTTTCATCGATAGTATGTCCAATTACTAATATTTAAAGGATCATTTAACATACTACAGAATTACTTCTCTGTTATGCTTTAGTACAAATAATTCTAAAAGGAAGTACTGAAACCACAACCTGTGCACAAATTAATGATGCAACAACGAACACAAAAGTGTCTTTGTTGTACCATAAAATAAAATAATGTTTAATAGCTGAAGATCCAAAATAATGAGTACACATTAATATACCAACCAATTTCCAAATGCATACATTACAAATAATTGACAGGATAATTAGGAAAGAAAATCAATACAAAGTATGCGGTTCAACGGTTTTTAATAAAATATTAAACTAATTTGAAAAACAACAATTTTGCTACGGGTACTAAAATGATAATTTTCTTTTATAATAGCAGCCATCTAAAACATAATCAAACCGTATAACAAAGTTATGTTAAATTTAGAAAAATTTTAATTATTAATAATTTACTTGATGATTTACACACGAGTTAATACTTTATCCTTCATCAATATTCAAATTCCAATATAGTGACAAAACCGGTTATATATGAGTGAACAATCAACAGGATAGGTAATAGGACTCAATTAACTATCAAATAAAATATGTATACATTTGTACATATTGCGTGAGCTTTTACGCATGAAATGCGTTTCCTTCCGGTTTCTACAGACTTCCGTTCGATTTTTAGGGAGGTCAATGGATTTAAAATCAACGCCGTGAAAGGGTGCAGGAATAAAGTACATTACATGGAAATAAACGGACTGCCGGACGAGTGGACACACGCGCTCACATGCAACCAAATAGCAGTACACGTATAATAATATGTAATTCAATACTGACGTTTACGCGTACAACGAAGTGACAATAATAAGACGACACTGAGATTGCTATCCTTCTATTTTTTTACGCACTGAGAAACTTAACCCGATGACGGTTTTCTTTAAATCCGGAAGTTCTAAACACGTATGTATTTTTACTTGAGATCTAAACCACCCCTTTCATTAGTAACTCAAGCCATCAATTTACTTGAAATTTATTGACTCTATTTATAAAATATTTGCTACCTGATTATACTAAATTTAATTCAACTTAAAGACCTATCGAGTACTTTGCCATTACAATGATAAAATTTACATTTCGCCGGCTTGGTTTAAATAATAAATAAAAACTTTTCTATTAACAAATATATAAACATTTCAACTTTTAAGCCGTCATGTCCACCAGTTTTTTTAAGAGTGATCAGTAAGTAAGGAAACGGGTTTCTATTGTTCTCATTTTTTGTTACAATTGACTTGGTTCCTTATTTACAGAACACTCTGTATAATAAAAACCTACAACATCGTATAATATTTTGACATTTGTTTGGGTTTATATACCCATATAGAATTTCATCTTCCGTAGATGTTTTTATGGAATCGCACCATATTAATACTTAATGATTTCGTAAAAGTCTTCACAAAATTCACCTACATAGAAATATATAGTTATAAATTATAAATATGAAATACATCGTGACACTTTAAATGGGAAAAACTGTTTGACCAAAATTTTTGTAGTAGGCGAAAAGATTGATTACGATTAGCATCACCAAAAATTATA